GTTGGAGCAAACATCAACCGTTGAAAAGGTACTGTTCACCGTGAGCAGTATGAAAAGTTATCGCTTACAATAAACAATATCAAAGCCCGAAGTGCCATATGTTGGATTTCGGCCCAAACAATCCCTGGGCCTGAAGTGCTGTGGCCCAATGGACATTCAAATTAAGGCCCGACTTATCTCAATAGCATCCAATTAGATATTACTGTTTTTAAGATGTTTCCTTTTTGGCGGAAATATGTTGGAAGCGTATCTTCAAAAATTACATTTCGAAAATCGGATTTAATGTTTGTTTATACAAATATCTCAATTATTATATTAAAATTTATAATTATTATTAGAACATTTTTATTAAATTAGATGTATTGGTGAGGTGGGCACCCCAACCCAACCCAACCCAACCCAACCCAATCCAATCCAAACCCTAACCACAACCATAAATAAATTTTCATTTATATTATCTTTATCTATCCTCTAAGTCGTCTTTCTTCTATCGTAGCCGAGAGACTCATCGTCGTCGCATAACAGGCGATGACACGCAGCAGCAGCACCGTCGAAAGCCACAATAGCAACATTGTGCTCAGTAAGCGATGACAACATTGTTGTGTGCGATCTTATAGTAGCAACTGCGCTTGGCGCTAGCTCGTCGTGATTGTGCCTCACGCATAACACGCACACGATTTGTAGCGACGTGGCAATATGGACTGCAGTCTTTCGTGGATTTGATAAGGCGTGGTAGTGATGCAGTGGTGGCTACGATAACGAGTTTGGAGATTTTTTTGGTAGGTGTGGTGGTTGTGATTTTTCGTACACGAGGTGGTGATGCTGCTTCTACTAGGTGTGATGTTGGTGGTAAGGTGGTGGTGGCGATACGAGTGACGGTGATAGTGGCATTGATGCTAGCGTTGACACTAATGTTGGTTTTGTAGTTGAAAATGATGATTTGTTGGTGGTGATGGTTTTAAAGTTGAAAATAGTAGTTTGTTAGAGGTAGTAAGGGTTAATACCCCATATAATCATCGAACTTGTACAAAAATTCCTAGGAGGTCACTGAACTTCAAATTTGCCCTAAATAATCACCGAACTTTGTAAATTTTGACCCAATCCATCACCGACCTCAAAATCAAACAAATTTTGATGATGTGTAAGTGACGTAGCGCACATATGTTTGCCAAATAAGCAAAACAGATGACGTGGACTCTTCTCTCCCAAACCCATCTCTCTCAATCGGACTGAAACATGATACCAACATAGCCACCAACTATGATACCTCAAACCACCAATTCCGGCCGCCTAGACCGCCGGATACCATCATAGACGACATTACATCACGTCCGGCGACACCTACGATCGTGCACCACCACAGTCAGGTAGCTCTCGAATAGGCGACCTCAAATATGGCTTCACCTCAACCAAAACAATGTCCAATCAATCTGCACTTGCCCATGAACCTTCGACTGTCTCGCCTCCATTTTTGTCAAAATCGTCTCATTCAATTCCAGCCCCGAACTTCATTGAACCTACAAATTGGCATCACCTGATCCAACAACAGGTCCAAACGATGCTGGGTATGAATTCAATTTCACCAATTATCCCCCAAGTCGCTCCAATTTCTGGATTGGAACTTGCAAATAGCGTGAATTAAATTTCTGTTTTGGCTTGATTTTGTCACTGATTCCAGTGGGTTTGTGACCGGTGATACTGTGGAAAATGTTGGGGGGAGTGGGGTGATGCTGGCTATGGTGGTATCCGGCCGTTTAGTCTGCCGGAAATGGGTGGTTACAGCCGGAATTTGGTGGTTTGAGGTGGTAGGTGGTGTCCAGTTTCGGTGGGTTTGAGTCATTGAGAAAGAAGAGTCCAAGTTATCATGTTTTGCTTATTTGGCCAACACGTGTGCCATGTCACTTACACATCATCAAAAATTGTTTGATTTTGAGGTCGGTGATAGATTGGGTCAAAGTTTACAAAGTTCGTTGATTATTTAGGGTAAATTTGAAGTTCAGTGACCTTCTAAGAATTTTTGTGCAAGTTTAGTGACTATATGGGTATTAACCCAAGGCAGTGACGACGATGAAGCAATGGTGAGGTGGTGGTAAAAAAAATATTTAGTTAATTGTGACAAAAAAAATTATATGTGATCTAAAAATTTGTTAATTTGTGACCAATATTTTGATAATTTTTACCCATATAATAAAATGTGGCTTACAAATTTTTTGATTTGTGACCTATAAATAAATTGGGATTTATATGTATATTTTTTTATTTGTGATCAATGTGACATATAAATTTTTTTTTTTTCACGATTAAAAATAATTTGTGATCAATTAATTCGATAATTGTGGTCAAATTGTATAGAATTATGACCTTAATATATTTAATTTATAACATATATTTTTAATTAATTATTTCATAAATAAAATTTAATTAATGTCTAATTTTTGAAATTTTAAATTTTGTATCTTCGTGTTGAAATAAGTGATACTTGGCTCTTGTCTGACCATTGTTCAGTTAAAATTTCCTCTTCTTAATAAATACAAATTTTTCAATAAAATAATATTATACGAATTTTTAAAAAAAAAATCTTGCTTTTTTAATCACACAATTTTAAAAAAATTACCATAAATCTCATTATAATCTAAAATGATGGATTGGAATTTTTCCTTGTTTCTAATAATTATTTTTCTAAATATAAAAGTATTTAAAGATATATTTCTTTAAATTTTTTTTTATCAAAATTAATTTTGAAAATGTTTTAAAGCTCCTCAATTCCTTCCGAAATATTTATGGACCGCGCTACACTTACAGAAAGGAAATACCAGAAGCTGTACAGATGACGTGGCAGAGTGGACGTTTAAAAGGGCAAGAAACGAAAAAAAAAAGAGGAAAAGTAGGACACCAGTTTATTTCTTCGTTCAAACTCTCCACTCCATTCCTTATTCTCCAAACGAGAAAACCCTAGATTCCCCTCCTTCCCGACCTCCGTC